CCGGAGAGAACCCACGCAAGCACGGGGAGAACATGCAAACTCCACACAGAAAGGTCCCAGGTGGGGCCCGAACCCGGAACCTTCTCGCTGTGAGGCAACGGCGCTAACCACTGTGCCACCATGCTGCCGTTTTCAGTTATTATATTGCTATATGTTGCCTATGTCACCTATTATGTTTCTTGCTTATTTTATTTTCATTTAGACTTCTATTTTATTTTAGTCAATGGTAATGTTTATGTTATCTCGGTGTGATGCATTCATCAGTACTCGTTATACTCGCTCAGTAGTGCGGTGGATATGGATGACCGAGAGTGACTCTCTGTGTGCAGGAATGACCGAGAGATGACCATGGTGTCCCAAAGTATCCTGAGGGGGTTCACTAGCCTGTTATCCTCACAGCGGCCAATTTTGCAGTCCCAACTAATTGGCAGCATGAGGTCACCTATCACACCCCAGAGATAGAAGAAAAGAGCCTTTGATGTAAAGATTCAGTGTTTTTAAGATGCCATCTTATGACAGGTTGAGTCTCTCATGTTAAAATTTAATATTTCTAAGATGACACCTTATGACAGATTAATGTGCTTATGTATTATCATTTTAATACGTTTGGACATATTTACAAGACAAAGTGATATGTTCAATGTTATGTTTTGTCACCTTAATGGAGTTTGTGACATGTTTATGATGTTTGGAGGCATCATTAATCTGGGACATGTGTCAAGAAGTGATTGTTTGCACGTTAGTAGTGTCAGTCATCAGAATAACTACAGTCTTTATGTCACTTGCATGCTTATTTAACTTATTACTCTTGTTGTCATAATGTCTGGAGAGGTTCCTAAAGCTGACCCTTCTAGCTTCACATACAATGTTTATTGTGTTGGCAGTCAGAGGGAAAGGTGCAATAGAGCATGGGTGACATGAAGGTGCATGGAGAGGGCATAAAAGCTGCTGCAGAAGCTCTGTAAACTGTTCTGCTTCGCAAACCAGCAACAGAGATATTGCTTGTTGTAACTGCTTTGCAATAAATCCTATGCCTTGTTTCAGACTGAAGAGACTTTGAGTGTTTTTTGTTTTTTTTTCCAAAGATAAAGAAATCATCAGTGGTGTGTGTCTGACTTATACTGGCCCAGGTCAGGTTCCACAATACCTGTCTTGACCCCCTAGTGCACAACACCTGTCCTGACCCCCTAGTACACCTCTTGGCAGCCTCGAATGACTGCAGTGACTCAGGTTTGATGTTGAGTTGAGGTAAAGTGGCACCCCAAGTGAAGAGGGACTTGTGAATAAGAGCTGAAGTGTGCCTGGCTCTCCATCTCCAACTCCATGGCTTCTGTCAGCGTCATAGTTTGTGACGGCAGACATACTGTAAATCTTTGCCAGAGATTCAATATTAGTCACGTCACATACTGTATGTGAGAAAACGGATGTTTGTGTTGTGTTGCATCTCCCTCCTCTCCCACCTTGCACGTCTGTTATCAGCTGTGGGTGGCGTCTTTTGTGGCTCTCAATAATAAAGCTATTTATCACATTCGCTGTTTGAAACAAACATGCCATGCTGCACTCGCTGCTCAATGTCTCACTCTGTCTTTCCCAGGAAGAAAGAGTAGATGCAGCTCACTGGATCGGAATGGGAAACATCCCAGCATTGTGTTGGGGGTGTACTGGGTTGTATGTGTGCGCATACTAGTGTTAGCAAGAATATAGATTTTTTTGGATACATATCAATTCTGAAAATTTGGAAGTTTCAATACTTATTTTTTGTTGTACTGATACCAGGTGTGCTTTCTCACTCTCTCACAGTGCTTTCTGCCTCGTCACTAACAACAGGCCGTGCTATATTGTGGGTTTTGTCATTACAGATGATGCAGAGCATTGGTAACAATAGGTGCTGACAGAACTGCTAATACTAGTCCTGATACTGACCATGTGCCACACACAGTGTACACTCCAGTGCACAGAATTTGCACCTGCAAATATTTGCATTTGTCTAACAACACATTGATAATGGGGATGGTTCACAGCGGCACTGTTTAGTGTTGACTACAGACCCTGTTTGGAAAAGACAAATCAGAACAAAGCTCAGATCATCTAGACTGACAGACTAGGGCGTAATCTCTATGGGAGACTGTGGAGACAAACATCAGATGCAAGGATCAGCAGCAGAAACAGACTTTACATAAGTGATGCTGGGATTTAAACAGACTGTGTTACCTGTGTACCTGTGAGTGATCAGCTGTAGCCCTACATGACACAAGCAGGGCACATGATGCCAAACTTTGGCACATGCTGACCAGTTGCGAGCCCCATGCACAGCTGTGTTCACTCTTGCTGCCTGACATGTAAACCAGCATGAAGCAGGAGGAGCTCAGTGAACATTCAGTGTGTTTTGGAGTCAGTTTAGCACTTTTGAGCAGAGAACATCTAGTCTCATATACAGTAACTTTGGTAGGCATTTGAGTGCTGGTCATAATAAATATTGGGGGGACAGTTTCTTTTTTCTATATACAGTATTCAATCCTATATGTTCATCAGATGATACAAATGGGTAACAACCTTTAAACTGAAAACACACCCTGCGTTCAGTGAGAGGAAGTTGTGACTGACCACAGTGAAAAAGTAGGCAGGAGTATGTAATGCATTTCCCATGTTCCTTGTCCTACTGGTGGACAATTACATTTTGAGTTGCTTCAAAAGTAGATAAAACATTTTCACTTCCTGTGCCATTACAGCAAGCTTTCAATCGATCCCAGAGTCTCCAGACAAATGAGCAACTTCCATGTACAAACAAAGAACATGAGCTGCAGTTGAAGGCACTTGAAAAAGCTACAAAGTTATGTTAAAATGTTATGTATATACAGTGTTCTTATTATATTAATATTGCCATAGCTGTATGTATTTTTACCCATTACAGCCAAAACTTAAAGTTACAGTATGAGACTTAAGGTAGCCCTAGAATGAAATCAATGCACTCTGCTCCACCCAGCTCTCCCTCTCCCTGCCCCACTATGCTCTACTACATTCCACCACCCTCATTATTATTATAATTATAACAAATGAGAATGCAACAAACCTTAATGATCAAGCAGGAATAATTGAAAATCTCAGATTGAGAGAGGTCCATCCCACTCAAAACCTTTTAGAAGCTAATATCTCTGCACTGCTGCCAGTGCTGTTCAATGAGTCTGGGTCACAGGAGGCTTCAACAATGGGGATGGTTCACAGCGACACTGTTTAGTGTTGACTACAGACCCTGTTTGGAAAAGACAAATCAGAACAAAACTCAGATCATCTAGACTGACAGACTAGGGCGTAATCTCTATGGGAGACTGTGGAGACTACATTAAGGCAAGTTTTGGAGCAGATTTCTACAACAAAAATATTTGAAAAAAATTACATACTGTAGCTTTAACTTCTAGTATCTAATGTTTTTGTTGTAATGTTGTAATGATTTAAAGTGTCCATGCTCATTTCCAGTTATGTAATGTTTAATCTTGGGCACCTCTAGATTAGCTATGCATCCATCATAACTGCAAATAGTCTGTAATTATTTCAGAACGATAAAACCTGAGAGCCTCCTCCTGAAAACGAGAGGATAGTTTGTGAATGTGCACAACTCCTGCTGCCGGTGTTGTGTCGAAATCGGTTTCCCCATCAAGATGTTTCCTCTAACCTGAATCCTAACTTTATCCTAACAACAACCTCTGTGGGGGTGCTACATGAAAGCGATTTTTGAACAGGGGAAACACATCTCTATGGGGGTACACTTTTCGACACAAGACCGGCCAGGAAGCCTGGAGAATGCATAAACAAAAAATATTGACAAATAAGCTACATTTTCAACAATGACAATTCTCAGGTCCCTAAAAGTGATGCTTCATAAACAAGGGATAATATCCACATTTGAGAAGATTTTCCTGTCTGTGCTGACATTTTTCTTTCATCTAGGGACACGAACCCACATGCAAATGCACGCGAGCATAGTTTCACTCTTATACTTTAGGTGTAGCCTATATAATCACAGAGGCACATGGGGAAATATAAAACTTGAGTCTAGCTAATGTACTCTTATATAGCCATCAGTTCCTTTTAGCTGATGTCAGCTGGTTATCTACAGCTGATGGTCATATGTAAGTAATGAGGGATCGTTGATCATTATGGCCCATTGAGGAGATGATTGATGGCGATGAGAATGTAGATGTAGTAGGCCAAATGTTTCCCATTTAAAGGTTTCTTGGTAGCTCCTCAACACCCCTCCATGCTCTAAATTTGGTGATGCTGAAGCCAGTCGAACAGACGTTTTAGGGATTTTGACTGCAGTGACTATTTATACTTTCATTCAGTTTTAACTCAGGATTACACGCTGATCTTGTACTCAGCCACTGGTGCTGGCCACCTCTTTCAATCAAATTGAATAGGTGCTTTGGAGAAGAAACAGCAGCTTTAGTAAATTGTAAAAGCCACCCATGACATCTAGGGTTGTGCTGATGAAAAGACAGCTTTAGACCAAAGGTAATAAACCTGCTAAATCTTTGGCTTGGCCATATACAGACCATGTTATTCCAAAGTAATAAAAATATAAAAGCTTTCAAGTATCTCATTTATCTTTGTTGATTCACTTATAAATGTGCATAGTATTGATTTAGGTGTGCTTTCTTTGCAGAATTTCTATGTGTCGGTTAATGAAACACTCTCGCTCCTGCTTCTCTCCTCCTCCCTTTTTTATTCCTGCTATTACCCTTCCTGTTTATCACTATTGCTCTTCTGTTTCCATCTGAGCATACTGTAAGAACCTCTTAACCCTTTTAGCCCTGCACACACACATGCTCTCACTTTTATTCTGCTTTTATTCACACTTTTCCACACTTTTTCCCAGTCTTCATCCTGTTTTCTCTCTTCTCTACCTGACACATCAATTCAATTTAGTTTTGCCTGAATGTAAACAAAGCTGATTTTGAGTATAGTTTAACCTGCTTGTATGTATTCTTCTCCCCCTCCTCCAGACTTGGACTTTCGCTACTTCTGGAAGTGGAATGCATTTGAGGACTACCTGCTCTTCTGCTTTGGCTTCACTGTACTGTGTGCGGTGGTCACCCTGGTGTTGCTGGACTCTGCTATGTTTGTGGAGATGCTAGGCTACCTGGCTGTGATGTTTGAGGCCATGCTGGGCCTCCCGCAGCTGCTGCAAAACTTCCACAACCGCTCAACCAAAGGCATGAGGTAAAATATTCTGCAAGGTCAAGCAGAGCTTTTGCAGAAAGATTACAGCCCACACTGGCATACGGTGGCACATTCCCACAGGACTTCAATAGTGTTCATTTTCTCTCCACATGGAAGGTACTCTCACTAACCTTAATATCCAGGGAGTGCAACTCATTAACAAAATATGCTAATAAGGTAATTTATAATCATTAGAGGCTGCATAAAAAAAAATCTGAGTCAAGGTTTGGATAAACCCAAATACTGAGTCTTAAAAAAAGATCTAACAGTTACTTTCTGTATCTGTTTCACTGACAAGTAAAGGCATTATTAAGGATGAATGATTTAACTTTAAAATTAAACTTACATACTCCATCTCTTTTCAACCCACGTGTTTAAACTGCAGTAATGGCAAAAACCTAATTAGAAAAATGTGAAAACTTCTCTGTTCTAAAATCAGTTAAAAGAATCAACTGATTCTTTTCACAATCAGAATCATCTTTAATGGTCAGGTATGTTTGAACATGCAAGGAATTTGACTCCAAACATGCATAGAGTGTGTGTGTGTGTGTGTGTGTGTGTGTGTGTGTCTGTGCATTGAAATAGTGTAGTCACTCTGAAAATTCTCTGAAAATTGTCCATAAGGCAAAAAAGACTTTTCTTTTTTATCTCTCCCCAGGACACAGTCTCACTTGTTTTCAGTAGATATTCAGGATATATGGAAGTCAGACATACAATAAATCAGTATGTACAGTATATGAGGTTAATGTTAAAATGCTAAGATTAGGCTCTTGCAGTGATGCCTGTTGGGATTAGCTACTCTCCCTGGGATTTGGGAG